TGAAACTTAATAAACTTCACCTCTGTCTGTTGTGGATTCTGTTCTTCAACATGAGCTGAATGACAGAAATGATACGTGTGGTCAGTTTATTAACAATGGTTATAAATATTGCTGTTGATACATTTTGTTAAATATGAAGTTATAAGAAAGAATGATGTAAAAAAATATTAAATCTGCGTAAAACTACCTTTGTGAAGCTTTCTGATTTTAACAGCCAGACAAATGATGACCATAATGAGGAAAATAATCAGACCTCCCAGGATCACACTCGTCAACTTTGTTGTTCCATCAAACTCTTCAACAAGAAAGATTGTTAAATTAGCCTTAAACTTTGCTATATTTAAATGGACACAAATGATTGACAGGGTTTTTTTTGTGAAGCAGGAAATATTCAAAACTGAATCTATCTGATGAATCTACAGTCTAATATTTAAGTCTATATCATGAATTTTGCCAAAAGACAGACCAAACTTTACAACAATCTTACCTTGAACATCTAAATATGTTGCATCCACAATAACTGGTTTTTTGCTTACGTAATAGCCACAGAAATACAGCCCAGAGTCAGATGAATTTACTTGTTTGATTTTGAGAAAAACTGTGGAGATGTTGGCGCTCATTTCAAAATTTCCATTTTGAAATCCATCACAGAGTGAAGCAGGCTCATGAGGCTTGAACATGAAGGAGACACAGTGGGGCTGGGATCTCCTGACCACTCTGAACCAAAATACCTGAGTGGGAGAACTTGAAAAGTTGGAGCACAGCAGTGTGACTTCTTCACCTGACTGAACCTCCACAGTCTGAGACTCAGAAAGTGAGACGCAGATCCAGCCTGAAACAGACAGACAGAATTATTAATCATTTGGCTGACAGGTATGTGATCAGTGTCTTTATATAATCTTATTAATAGTAAGCAATACAGTAAGTGCTGTGAAGTAATTCAATGACAGTACTTACACTGCATAGAATCACGGTAAAGTTCCTCATTGTGTGTATGATTGTGTCAATGCAATGTGGCTCAACAACACTGAGTCCGTCCCCCACACACACTGAAGGTGTGGTTTAAGAAGTTTATCATATGACACAAAGTTAAACCTGTGTTGTTTGTAGATTTTATATCTCAGTGTGGGGGTGAATGGTGTGAAGAGTTTGTTGGCTTGCACAGATGCCTATCATGGTGTGAACACCAGTCAGTCATATTCTTTAACTAGCTCAGTGCTGTTTTAGGCAGAGAAAGAGAATGGAGCTATTCAAATGCTTTGAAAGTGCTGGTTAAAGTGAGATTTATACTTCTGCGTCAAATAGACGCCATACCTACGCCGTACATATGCCCAGGGATGGGCAGTATTTCTATTACTTGTATTTAAAATACGTATTTCAATTACATTTGAGTATTTTGTCATTTGTATTTGATAAGGCCGATAAAAAGCAAATGTAATTTGTAACAAAATACTTTTGAGTGGAATAATTTTGTAATTAAAATACTCAAAATACTTTCTCCACGAATCAAAAAACAAAACTAATAGGCTACACATTCTTATAATATTGGATGTAACAATATTTTTTACTTTTTAATTTTTTTTTTTTTAAAGTTGGGCCATTCAATGTGCCCTTCAGTGACCTAGTGGTCTGTTTTACTGGACTGTGCATAACATAGGAAATCATATGTTGTTGTGGTTGATGCTTGGGATGAGTATGCTACAAATAAATTGCCTCACGTGGGATCAATAAAGTTGTCTGAATCTAAATCTGAATCAATAAATAATATTTTAGGGTAGCCTACATGTCCCTAGCTTTTTTTTTCTCTTTAAAAGTTGAACACAGGGCTCCAAAGTCTCCAAGGTGTGCAAACAAGTGAACTAGCTACAGTAGCTACAGCATGTTGCTGCTGTTTAGCTAGACCGTTGGTGGACAGTTCACAGCACAGCTAGACTAGACTTGCCAGGCATGCTGCTCACGGGGATGGACCCATGCTACCAGTAGACTACCTTGCTGCTCACGTCTTCCAAGTTCAACAGATTGTCTGTCAAGGTAAATATTTTATCTGAGTGTGACAGATGTCCACTGGCCTGATGTTTTTGGTTAAGGACTTTTTGTGTTATTCACAAAAAATTTGAATCAGTTAGTATAGCGCCACCTATGGACAAATTGTGGGCATTCTTTCTGATATAGTTAGTCGTGGTCTCTAGTTGCAGTATGCAAATTTTGAGCATTTTTGGTCAAGGACTTTTTGAGTTAAAATGTTGAAAAGTTGGACCCACCGACCAATCGACCAACCAACTGACTGACAGAGCGACCTATAGAGCTGCGGGTCGCTGCTAAAAAGAAAAAGAGTATTTTCTGTATTTGAAAGTACAAAATACATGTATTTTATTTTGATACATTTTCTGGCACCAGTATTTTGTATTTTATTTTGATACATTTATTTGAGGGGTAATTTGTATTTTGTATCAAAATACATTTTGATGTATTTTTGCCCATCTCTGTCTATGCCATACCTACGCCCTACCTACACTGTAACCAATGCCATAACCTACGCTGTAACCTACTCTGTAGCCTGACGTGCACCTCCCCAGAAATGTAACTGCACCTTGCAGTGACACAGATCTCCTGTCTATCTTTGTAAGCTGAAACCATTTCCCTCAGTGGAAACGAAGCATTTATTTACTTTTATTTCACAGATAGAAAACAATTAATTGTGAAGACAATAAAGCCTCCACAGCTAGTGTAATTTATACAATGTAAAATGCCATAGGCTTGTAACGTTAGCATGTTGTATTTGTTTGGAAAACGTGTTTAGTATAAGACCGTTGTTTTGTCAGTGAACCTTGAGAGTTGGGTTGATCACCTGTCCGTCTGTATGTTTGTCCCATTCTTGTGAACATGATATCTCAAGAACACCTTGAGGGAATTTTCTTCAAATTGGCACAACTTCCACTTGGACCCAATGCTGAACTGCCTAGATCACTGACTAGGTCAATGTGACCTAACAAAACATGTTTTTTTGCCATGACTCAAGCAGGGCCAGACTAGGACAAAAATTCAGGCCGGGAGTCGTACATCCACCCAGGCCACCCAATCCACACATTACATGCTCACACATGTGCACACGGACACACATATGGGCTAAGTAATCACCAAAGCTCATTATTTCTAGACTCACAAGTCAGTCTTTAGACGCTTTGCTTAAATAAAGACTGATGATTTTCTCCCTGATTTTGTGTTTAGATGGGCGGATACAATTTCAGAGTTTAAAAACTCCCTATATTGCAGAACCAATAGTAAATCTGCAGGGCAGTCCTTCGGTGGCTCGCTGAACTCTTGTGCTCGTAAACATAGTCCGACTAGAAACACGTGTAGTGGTACAAAATGGCTTTTGTCCTGCGTTAAAAGTTTTAAACAAAGTCTCTTTAAGTCCTTCATTTCCACAATCTTGTTGACTGAGCACACGTTTGATAAAACAGAGTTAAATCTTTTGGCATCCATTTTCAAGCTCCTTGCGGACGAGAAAAGGGGGAGCGCACATTTCCAGGAGGGCGTGTCCTTTTCAAAAATGCAAGAGGTGTTGTTTTGTTGCCTGCCGTTTTCTCCGGTGTGTTAAACACACTTTAGAAAGGAGTGTCCCCAGACTATCAGAAGACGGAGATCTCTGATTGTCTGGTGGCGAGACTACATTATTCCAGACTGACAGTCACACAACAGCTCTATTAAACACAACTGTAACAGCAACCTTACTCATAGTCCAGTCCAGTGCTTTTCTCTTCCCTACCCTCACCAAATGTGCCTCTCAATAAACCAGGACTCCTATATGAATGGGTATTATGCTGAACTAAACAACATGATTGTATTTTTTTGTCATCAAATCATTTTGATGTCAGCTTATCATAATCATTATGGCAACACCCATGTTCAATGCAACAGTAAAACAAGTAAAAATATAAGTCAGCAGCAACTTCAACTTAACTTACTTTCAGTAACATTAGATAGATATTGAAAACTTTTGAACTTAGACAGATAAGAGCCTATCCTTAAGAGGGGTCCCCTAACTGTTTCAGCCTGTGCTGCAACACGCCTGTGGAGGTATTTTTGACCCAAGAAGAACTACCAAATATATTGTGCAGTAAAATAAGCAATGTAGCAATGTTCTCACTACCATGTAAAAACAAAGGTGAAATAATTAAAATGTTCCATGTATTGGTCAGTAGTCATCAATATCGTATTCCCTTTTTCAGTCTTCAAAGATACTGCAATGATCAAATGAAAGACAAAGGCAGGTCAACATCACACAAATTTTAGTGAGATTTTAATTTAAACAATAAAACAATCACACAATTCTGTTTCAATTTGTGTTTCAAAGTTACAGCTGTAACCTACCTGCACATTACAATATAGAAAATAAAGTGCTGTGACTTTTATTTAAAATAAAATAAACATAGCTTTAGCTAAACATAGCCTTAAAATAGCATCAAGTATGCATGCATGCATATATCTTTTTCTGCATAAAAAGTGTTTAGTGTGGTGCCTGAACCTCTGCTGTTATCCACTCATGGGTTGGGACCCAAAAAATCACTGCCTTAGAAGGTCAGCAGGTTGCGCATTTCAGCTATGTAACCCTACATGCAAATGAAAATACAGAAAATAGTGTTGTGACTGTTCTCACTTTGTGAAATAAAATGAACTTAACTAAAAGGCCCAGTGTGTAATAATCAGTGTAGTTTGTAGCACATAGCAGAACAAACCTAGAGAAAAACTGAACCTAATATTTATGAATGTGTTAAAATACACACACACACACACACACACACACACCATGGTTACTGTTTCCATGGTCACACACACACACACACACACACACACACACACACCCACACCACGAATACTGACGCCATGGCCACACACACACACCATGGACACACACACACACACACACACACACACACACACACACACCATGGTTACTGTTGCCATGGTCACACACACACCATAGTTACTGTTGCCATGGTCACACACATCATGGTTACTGTTGCCATGGTCACACACACCATAGTTGCTGTTGCCATGGTCACACACACATCATGGTTACTGTTGCCATGGTCACACACACCATAGTTGCTGTTGCCATGGTCACACACACACACACATCATGGTTACTGTTGCCATGATGTGTGTGTGTGTGACACACATCATGGTTACTGTTGCCATGGTCACATACACCATAGTTACTGTTGCCATGGTCACACACATCATGGTTACTGTTGCCATGGTCACACACACCATAGTTACTGTTGCCATGGTCACACACCGTAGTTACTGTTGCTATGGTCACACACCATAGTTACTGTTGCCATGGTCACATACCGTAGTTACTGTTGCCATGGTCACACACACCATGGTTATTGTTGCCATGGTCACACACACCATAGTTACTGTTGCCATGGTCACACACTGTAGTTACTGTTGCCATGGTCACACACACACACACACACACACACACACACACACACACACACACACACACCATGATTACTGTTGCCATGGTTACACACACTATAGTTGCTGTTGCCATGGTCACACACACCATAGTTACTGTTACCATGGTCACACACCGTAGTTACTGTTGCTATGGTCACACACCATAGTTACTATTGCCATGGTCACACACACCATGGTTACTGTTGCCATGGTCACACACGCCATAGTTACTGTTGCCATGGTCACACACCGTAGTTACTGTGACCATGGCAACAGTAACTACGGTCACACACCGTAGTTACTGTTGCCATGGTCACACACACCATGGTTACTGTTGCCATGGTCACACACACACCATGGTTACTGTTGCCATGGTCACAGACACACACCATAGTTACTGTCGCCATGGTCACACACACCAAAGTTACTGTCGCCATGGTCTCACTCACACACACACTCACACACACACACACCATAGTTGATGTTGCCATGGTCACACACACACACACACACAC